ATTATTATTATTATTATTATTATTATTATTATTATTATTATTATTATGTAAACGCTTTAAATAATATATGTCTTATGTTGGGCCAATCTAATTACTGCAACCCCTCCACATCAAACCAGATGAAAGAAAATGTTACATGATATGCATACAACAGTTCACAGTAATCTATGTTCTATTGAGTCTCATTCGATTGGATATTTAAATACAATTATCGGTTTTAATTGGTTTCCGTTGGGCATATTAATTGATCTTTATCAAACAAAAACAATTATTTATAAACATCTTAAAAAATTAGCTAAAACGAACGTAATTATTAAAATTTTCATTATTTTTAAACATAAAACGTTTAAATATTCTTATAAAATCTATAGCTAAAAGTCGGAATCGTTAATGAGATGTCCCTTGAAAACCAAAAAGAGATTGTTTTATAAGACATCGCGCTTACGGATCTTCGTACCATATTATTACACATTTTTGTTATTCTTTGCACGTTTTTAATCTTACTTATTATATTATTAATTTTTCCATTTTCATATAATTATATTATATAATAAAAATTTTATGTAAACGCTAAATTTGATAATAGTATAATATAACTTGCTATACCCAGTACAAAAGCAGACGGCATAACAGACGAAGCGGCCTCTTGACCGCACTGCGGTCACTTTCACACGGTGTGGCGTTCATATCGCACCGGAAATCATAACATGGACATACGTTCATTATACTGGCTACGGCGGACTAAAATCAATAACAATAGTACCTATAACATTCATTCATTAGACTCTGACATCTCTGTTTAACGGTAATAACAATAATTGTGCGCATGTTTGTGAAAATATTTACCATCAATTCCCACGGGTGCATTACATTATATACATATATTACATACCACCTACAATGAGTATGTGGTATCTATGACGTAAACATAATAGCAGTTCTGTTAAACTAAATAATTCAACCAAATATTTCAACTATTAACATATTTTATTATATTATTTTCAATGTCTTCGTCGATGTTAGAGAAATTATTCGTTTGTTTGAAAAATAAAAATTGTAGACATAAACATATTATATTACTATGTGTACGTCTACATAATTTTAGTTAATATACTAATATGTGCTGAACAAAATCCTAGGTTCATCTTTATTGTAAACGTCCGAATATAACGAATTATACGTTACTGATCGCCTTCACTAAAGATCACAAAAATCACAATATAATGACTTTTCCATATTTATACTTAATGCCTATAATTCGATCAATATTTAAGCCTCTGCATGTTTGCCACTCAAATTTAAATTATGATAAAAAATATTTTGTATGAGAAATTTTATAATTCGTTGTACTTTTTTTTTCCCCGAGGCTTGGAAAAATATTTAATGTTGATAAACATAGTGAAATATTACCGGATAGGACGCGCTATTTTTTAGTACATCAACTAAACTCGTGTTTTTAAATGTTTAACATTCGATTTACATTTTTTTTTTTTTTTTTTACTAACCTACTAATAGGTTAATAATACATAACATCTGCAAAAACATATACTCCGTCGACTAAAATAATCAATGTTACTTGTTGATAATATCTTCTTGCGGAGTAGAACATTTTTCTCGGCACAAGGGTAGTTTCATTTATCGCACATCCTCGACCACCAGGCGTCCACTTATCACCACTAAGGACTGCAATGGTATTAATAATAGCACGACTAATACATTTAAATACTGATTTTAGAACTCGTGTCTGGGAGCAATGAAGTTGCAGTGAACGCACGTAGCGGATATGATATTCGCATTGATTGCAGCCGGGTCAGCTTTAAAAGCTGGCTTGACGATTGTGGGGACTAGCGTATGGATGATACCGGTTTTGATAGCCGCTATGGCTTATTACCGGTATGACCTTTACGACCCAGAATCGAGGCCTTTCAACCAAAAAATACTGAGACGCGAATACGACTTCATTGTAATCGGTGGCGGATCAGCTGGTGCGGTGGTTGCTAGTAGGCTTTCAGAGGTAATATTTTATAATTGACCCTTATAGACACACACTTCCTCTCTCTTATCTACTCTAACCTCCCCCCGATGGCGTTCAAATTTATAGACCATTTAACGGCCCATTATAGATAGGTCATTGGAGTGTTTTGCTTCTGGAAGCCGGTCCGGACGAGAACGAACTGTCCGATGTTCCTTCGTTGGCAGCCTATCTTCAACTATCGCGTCTAGACTGGCAATACAAAACCGAACCAACTGGTGAGTCTCGTCAATATTTCTAATCTATAACATATCCATTGTAATTACGTTACCATGACTAACGTTTTACATTTGAATGTGCACTGGAATAATTAATTATATTCTTCGTTACGCTATAGGGTTTCTTCGTGTTTAATGTTCAAACACAATGAAATATTTATTAAAATTAAACATAATTACACATTCATTGATCGAGTATAAAATCAAAACGCCAATAATCTAAATATGATAGCAATTAGACGCACCTATGAATATTTTTTAGATTTCATGTTCAGTGAAATATTTTAAGAAATATTTATTGAAATAGCAATAATTGTTTTACATGTTAAAAATTTCATATAAATATTTTTAACAATTATTCAATCTCAAACTTCACCAACAAATTTCAAATTACAATTATTTAAACACTGGAGATATTTAATATATATATATACTATAAACATTTTAAACGAGGACCAACATTTTCAAGTGATGTGCTTTTGGTGTCTGCAATCAAATACACAATATAATACTTTTAAATTTGTATTTCAATTTTATCGTTAGATTTCCTCATGCTCACAAAAACTGAAAAAAAAAATCAAGGAAATAATACTACATTTCTTTGAACTTTTTATAATTCTTCTGAAAAAAATAATATTAAAAAATATATCTTTAATAACAGTGTGAAGCATATGGTATGAATTTATACAGTCTTAAATAAATTTTCTAACCATTTTAACTATTTTAGTTTTTATCCATCTTGTTTGTTTTTCTCGGTGATTCTGTGTTTTTGTTAGAAGTGAATTTCCGTGTTTCTAAGTGCTTTTACATTAGTAATTTTCACGAAAGTTAATGTTATCACTGTTTCCATACTAGTCGGTCAGCTGTTTTCCTCTGTGGCGCTACACTTGACTACTAGTTTTAAGGTATAACCTTAAATTTTGCTGTTGAAATAGCTCCGCTTGGTTGAACTTTACATTCTACTTCGCCTTTGCTCTTACTCAATCTACTTATTTGTAATTTTAATTGCCTATCAACTATCACATGGCATATTACTTACCAAGTCTTCTAACTCTTGCCTAATAATGAGCCTTAGTTTTCTCTCTAAGGACTCTGTAAAGATGATAACCCGGTCTACTTCCTCTGCTGCTACAGCTAAGCTTACTAAGATGCAATTACTTTCCTTTACACCCCTCTCATCGAATGAATTCCGTTATATTATCTCTGGGATTCAGAAAGCTCAGGAAGATTTATTAGCTGGTTTTAAGTCTTAAGGTAATCTCAGGACAAAAAGCATGATGTATTAAAAGCTAGCTTATACGCATTATCCACTCAGATTAGGGATTTTAAGTCTGAGAACGCATTTCTCAAGTCTGACTTTGTCATTCATTAGGAAAAAGTCTATGCTCTCGAAACTTCCACAAGTAACTCGCCTATAGAAAGACAGATTGTGTACCCAAATTTTTCTTGAATTATGTAAGCTTGAAAAATACACATATTATATTGTTATTCATGATCACCAAGAATCATCTTCAGCCCATTCTACCGACAAAATAACTAATGACATATTACTTCCTTTTGAAATATTTTTGTCTTTTTTACTTCTTCTTCTTTTTCAAAGCCTTAGCCTTGTTATAGTTAAAAAATAGATCTCAAATTCTCTCTCTCCAATGTCAGAGTCTTCATATATTAATACCCGAAACATTCAGCCATTCCAATCATTTCTCCTATGAATGTCTTCCACGGTCTTTCTCTTCTTTTACGTCCATTGATTTTTCCTTCCGTTATGATGATTATAAAAGGGTTATGTCTTATTAAGTTTCCTATAAGTTCTCCGCTTCTTAATCTAATGATGGGATACTAAAATATTCTTCTCTACTATTTGGAGAATTCCTTCGTTGCTCTTCCTTTCAGTCCTATTAATACGAAGTATTTTTCTCCTGGTCCATATTTCCATTGCTTTGATTTTCTTTTTATATTTTGCTGTTAAGGTCCAGGTTTCACTGCCATATAACAAAACACTCCTTATGTAGCTTTTGGCAAAGTTTTTTCTGGTCTTAAGACTAAGATTCTTGTTCATGGGTAGCTGTTTATTTTTTTTTTTTTGTGTTAAGACTTTTTTTTCCTTGGCTATTCAGTGTATTATTTTTACCGAACATCTACTGTCACTTGTTAATATACTTTTTAAATATATATATGTTGTACCTGATCGATCGCTATATTATCCAATTGTATTTTAATGATGAGGATTCTGCTATCCTTACTTACAACCATAGCTTTATCTTCAAAGCTAAAATTATTCAGACTAAGAGGAGTGAATGCTAAGTGGTCTCGTCCTCTAAAAATAAATTTTCCCTCGAAATAACTAATTATTCAGTTTATTAATGATTATGATGCAAGCAAACAATCCTACACTGGTCCACCACCAATCATATAAGTTGTCCGAAATCGCAAAGCAGCTGGATGTTCAGAAATTCGACGTATTTATGCTGAATCTGAGGCCCGTAAAAAACATGGTGAGCTCGGAGTCGCTGTCAGATATAAAAATGGTATTCCTTTTATTTCCAGTAACCGTCGCAAAACCAGTGTCACCCACCAATCCAATTCTAACTCAATTGTTTCATCAGAAAATAGATTTTGGCTGTTAATCCGTTCCTTGCAAATGACTACCAACACATAACTACGACCATCTCAACATATATCTGCTGTACCCGTTACAAATCTAATCTTGCTATTTTGAATTTATCAACAAATATTCTAATAATACGAGTCCTAATACCCTTCTTAATCCTCCGTTGTTTTAGATATTCTTTCGAACTTATCTAATCACTAATCGTAACATATTCTACCAGAATATGCGTTACTTAAGGACTAAATTACCTAATCTTAAAAGTAATATCCCTATATTTCACTCCTACTCGTATGTTGTCGTTATCTTAACAGAAACTTTATTAAATTCTGAAATTTTAACACTGAGCTTGGCCTCTTCAACAGTCATGTTAATATATTTGACAGGTGCCCGCTTTCAATCTCCTTTAAAAGAGAGAGTGGCATTCTTATTGCTGTCGTTAACTCACTCAAATCTTTTCCTGTTCATGTTGACATTATGTTAAACAATTATTTATTACTTTATCTATAGGTTCTTTCAAACTATTAATTGGTGCTATTTATCAACCACCCAATTCTTCTCTTCTACTATATGTAGTCCATACTTCCACAGTAAAAAAGGTTTTTTCCTCTAAAAACCCATCAAGTATTTTACTTTGCAGCGACTTTAACCTTCCTCAGATAAATTGGACAGGTGGTATTTCAATATTAGGATTTACTGCTTTTGACAACATCTACAGTCTCTTCTCATCTTGTAGATTCATTCTCCTTTCTAAACTTTTTTCAGCTTAACCAAGTATATAAATCTAATGGTGACCTTCTTGATCTTGTGTTTTTTACTTTATGTACGCCTTCAATAACTCCTGCCCTTCGTTATTTGTTTATCCTGCCTCGTTTCACCCACATTTGTATATTTACTATCTCTTTTAAGAGTTTTATGAACCGCAATCATCCATTCAATCGTTTCATGACATTAAATCTGGTGATTACACTGCCATATTTCAGTTTCTTGGATCGTTTGATTTAGAGAATACCTTCTGGCTATACAATCTAAATGAATCAGCATCGTTTTTCAATACCGCTCTTCTTGTTGCCATTTATAAATATGATCTTCTAAAAGTATTATCACATCCTAAGTTTCCACGATGGACTTCTCACTGCCTTAACAATTTAATATTCAAAAAGAAGAAAGCCTATAAAATATTTAAGCGCGCTAGGTCTCCTACATATTATTCATTATTTACCGAATTACGTGCTAAATGTAAACGATGCTCTAAATCTGACTACTGTGCCTAAATTAAACAAACAGAAGAGGCCCTATCTTTTTCTCCCTCCGGGTTATGGAGTTATGTTATGGATCTTAAACAAACACCCCAAAATCTTTCGGTTGTTCACTTCTCCTCCAATGCCTAATCCAATTCTCATATTGAGTCAGCTAATCTTTTTGCTTCTTATTTTCCTTCCACATATAATCACTCTTCATCTCCGTTATCATTTCAATCTCCCTCCTACGGGCAGTTAATTTTAATCTACCTTCTAACATACATTTTTCATTTAATGAGGGACTCCTTCTCCTTGGTTCAATAAATAAAATCTTCTCCAATGGACCTGATGGCATACTAGCTCATTTCCTAAATAACTATCGATACTCAATCGCTTACCCTATATTTTTATTATACGAACATTCTGAAGGCACTTTTCCTGCTGTATAGAAAATTTGTTCGTTGTGGCCAGTTCTCATGTCTGGTGACCTTTCTGATGTCACAAATTATACACCAATATCTATAATTCCACATTTAGCTGAATTCGTTGAGTCTCTATTATACTCTAATATTAAAATAACATCAAATCATATTATTATAGATCAATAGCATAGCTTTAGTCCTAGCAAGTCTATGATCACCAGCAGTATTACTTTTACTATTTATGTGATTGAAATTATGGAAAAAGGTGATCAATTTGATGTAGTCTTTACTGACATTAAAAAGTCCTTCGACTTTGTTGGTTTCCTTATCAGAGAGCTAAACTTACTAGGTATCGGTGACCCACTTCTCTCATTTCTACGTTTTTATATCTCTGATAAGCAAAAACTCGTAGAAAATAATGATTGTAAATCACCCTTAACTATTAATTAATTAATAGTTAATTAAATATTATAAATTATAACTTAATAATATTATATATAATATAAATTAATAACTTAATATTAATTAATTATTAATACTCCTCGGTTGTCCCTCAAGGAGGTCATCTAAGTTCTCTGCTACTTATCTTATTCGTTAGCTCTATCACAGGTGGATCACCGTTGCGAAATTTCTCTTCTTTGAGGATGATATCAAAATTTACTTGAAATTTAATGGTATTTCCTGTTACCAGACTTTACATTAGTTTGAAATTTTGTTTTTAGGCAAGGCGTGCTTAGGCTTAAAGAACGGTCAGTGCAATTGGCCTCGTGGTAAGGTATTAGGTGGGTCAAGCGTATTGAATTACATGTTATACGTTAGAGGCAACCGACACGATTATGATGGTTGGCGTGACATGGGCAACGATGGTTGGGGTTACAGTGAGATATTACAGTACTTTACTAAATCAGAAGACAATCGTAATCCATATTTAGCCAGGCCGGGATCACCGTATCACAGAAAGGGTGGGCTGTTGACAGTACAAGAGGCTCCGTGGAAGAGTCCATTAGTATTGTCATTTGTAGAAGCCGGTCAGGAAGTGACTGGTTACCCCAACAGAGACATCAATGGAAAATATCAAACCGGCTTTATGGTTGCACAGGTAATTTATAAATTCAATTATTTTTAAAAAACTTTTGCTTTGAAAACTGTTTACATTATTCATGAATTTAAATGAAAATTCTGAAAAATTATACGAATTACGTCTAACCCATCACTGTACATATATGACATTAATAATTCTATGATACTTTATTCCTATAATTAGGCAACTACGGTAATCACGTTTTGTAAAAATTCGTGAAATAACAATAACACAAAATTACACAATACATATACTCACAAAGAGTTGTAACTATATTATTATGATATAAACTTCCACTACAAAAAAATGGTGACCAACTCGTTTATCTTCATTGGTTCTTAATAATGTCATTATTTACAACAATTTTCAGGGTACAATTCGGCGAGGTACTCGTTGTAGTACTGCTAAAGCTTTCCTTCGACCGGCTAGGCGCAGGCCCAACTTACATATAGCAATGTACGCGCATGTCACAAAAGTGGTCATAAACCCCATTACTAAACAAGCGACAGGAGTGCAATTTTTGCGTGACGGCCGGATTCATTTGGTTCATGCAAAACGGGAAGTAATACTCTCAGCGGGTACCATCGGCAGTGCACAACTCTTGATGCTGTCTGGAGTTGGCCCGGGTGAGCATTTACAAAGACTAGGTATACCGGTGCTACAAAACCTACGTGTCGGTGACAATCTACAAGATCACGTAGGCATGTTCGGGTTGACGTTCATTGTGGACAAGCCTGTTGCTATCATACAAAATAGATTAAGGGTATGTTTATTTAGTAGCATTTTACTACAGTATTTTAATGTTTTCGACATAAAAGTAGTTTAGAAAATACTTTTTACAAGTATACAATAACAAATAAACGTTTAAGTAATAATTATCCATCAAATGTATTATTTTACTTTTAATTAATTAATTTACATTAATCACAGTAATCAATTAAAATACTTAACGCAAAGAATACATTTTTAGCCAATTCCTGTATCAATGGAATATTTAACCCGAGAAAATGGACCAATGACCACGCTTGGAGGTGTCGAAGGACTGGGATTTATTCCTACTATTTATGCTAACAACACAGACTATCCAGACCTCCAATTTCATATGGCACCTGCAAGTATTTCATCTGACGATGGTATTAAAGTACGAAAAATTCTTGGAGTCCAGGATTCTATATACGACCAAGTGTTCCGTCCTATAGCTAAGAATGATGCATGGACCATTATGCCTCTCTTACTTAGGCCAAGATCTCGTGGTAGTATTAGACTAAGATCAAAGAATCCAATGTCGTATCCTTATATAGACGCCAATTACTTTGATGACCCATTGGACATAGCGATTCTGGTCGAGGGCGTCAAACTGGCCGTAAAAGTGAGTATAAATGTTATTATGATCGAAATTCAATGTTCTTGGAAATCATCATTGATGAACGACCATTAATATTCGTTTGTATTTAATTAATAATATTTGTACGTATACAGATCGGCCAGAGCAGAGCTTTCCGACAATATCGATCGCGACTTCATCGTGTACCAATACCGGGGTGTGCTCGATACGAGTTTGGTTCCGACAAATATTGGGAATGTTCTATCCGCCATTTCAGCATGACCATATACCATCCAGTCGGCACGTGCAAAATGGGACCTCCTAGTGACCCTGCCGCCGTAGTCGATCCAAGACTGCGTGTATACGGCGTGCAAGGTTTGCGGGTGGTCGATGCGTCGATAATGCCAACAATTGTCAGCGGCAACACGAACGCGCCAACAATTATGATTGCTGAAAAAGCATCGGATATGATCAAACAAGATTGGCTGTCTAATAATAACCGTTACCAAGGTTGAACCGCGATCACTTCGGTCCAGCGGCAGATGAGAAATGGAAGTTTGACTTTTAAACTTTACCACTTAATTATTTAAATGTGCCATTTGCTATATATTTACTACCATATATATATTGTTAAAAAATGTACATACTCAAATTTTGTTACCATTTTTTTTTTTTTTTTTTTAATATTATTGTACATTACATAATGCATATATTGCATGTAAAAATAGAATAGGTTTTATTTTGTAATATATATTATTTTTACTTGTAGTCAATACTTCACATTTTTAAACCTGAGTTGTATTTTACTATTAGTGATGGAATAATATATAAATATTTTGCAAACATTGATACAAATAATTTCATTGAACTGTAAAAATAATATAAAAGTGATTGAAAAGATACTCATTTCTAAAAATATCCAAACTATCACCATTCATGATTGTTACAACTTTTATTTTTAAATATTCTGTTGTCAAAATAATATTCAAGGCTTAATTGATAAGTATATTCTAATGTTCTATTCTGTTTCTTATATTCTTAATACCTATTAAAATATATCTGTTACATATTTTATTTTTCATCAATAACATGTGGTCCTTAATTATAGGAAAGGAAAAATATCTTATTAATTTTATTACTAATCGCCCTAATTTTCATATTCCAATAAAAGTCAAAATTAATAATGGCAAATTTAAGTACTCATAAAAAACTATTAAACAAATACTAGATTATAGATAACCTCATCAACAAATCATACCATAAGTGATGAAAATATTACATTGTTATTTTAATTTGAATCTATCCAAACTTAATTATAAAAGTTATTATAAAATTACGATTAAACAGAATTTAATGCATTTTAAATTATAGATTTATAAAAAATTGTATAAATATTTATTTGTTTTATTAATAATTTAAATATTCAATAATTTTGATACAAAACTGAAGTATATATTTTTTAACTATTTTCAAATATTTAACCCCATCGATAAACGTAAACGCATTACAACAAACTTTTTTTTAATAACGACCCTAATTTTCTACGTATTCGGATAGATTTATTTTTCAAACAATTTTTGTTTAAATGTTTTTTTTTATATTTTCAAAATTGACTATATAAGACTTTGTCAAAATTTTAAGTTAAATGTAATTGTTTTTTTGCTTACAGCACTAAATTATTAAAAATAGTGTCAAATAATTGAACTTAATTTTTAGTACATGATATTTTTGTAATTTAAAAAATAATAATAAACTAAATATTTTTATTATTTATTAGATATATTGTTCGCAAAGTTCGGGTTTCATACGGTTTTATCCAAAAAATGCTAAAAAAAACACAAAATGTAAACATATAAAATTGATTTTATACATTTACGTACAGGAGATTCTATTCTTAGTTGGTAGGAATTTATAGTTTAGTTTATTCAAAATAGATTATTTAGATTCCTAAACTTACCCAGGTATTCTCTACCAAAATAATACCTTCATATTTGATTTTTTAATATTTTATGCTAATTTTACAAAAAAAAAAATGTTTGTACATAATTATATAATCAGAATGGTGGTCTTACAAGAGCTGACTCATCGAAATGAACCCCGATTTTCTGATAGGCAAATCTGCCGCTGGTTATTGTTTCAAAACCGCTAAATTGATACTTATAAGTCATAAGTAAGTAATGATATAGCTTATTGACCGGATTAGTCCCCAAATTTTATGCCATTAGATTTGTTTCTATAGGAACATTTTAAAACTGTGATTTGTACAGATCTATTTGTCAGTCTCAAGAACTTAAAGAAAAAATACAAGTAGCATTTAACTTTTTTAAAGAAACCCAAACTCAAAACGACAACATCAACTGCATTTTTTGAAAAAATTTAAATTATTTTTGAACATAACGAAGAAATTTTTGAACAACTAATTTGATAAATAAATTGATTAAATTTTTTTCTATTGTAAATCAATACTACTACTGTTACTGAAACTGTTATTATTATTATTATTATTATTATTATTATTATTATTATAGCTGATTTGTTATTATTTTAATCAAAAAAATATCAGGTATTAAAAATAAAGTTGAATTATTTGACCCTATTTTTAATAAATTAGTGCTTTAAGTGAACATTTCATATAAATCCAGTTATTTATAACTCAAATTTTGACCAATTCAATTTTGGAAATATAAAAAAAACTTTTTGTACAAAAATTATTTAATTATCCATCCATACTATAGAAAAAGTTAAAGTTACCATTAAAAAAAAAAAAAAGTAAATTCATTTGCTCATGTGTGTACCATAAGGTTTAAAAGTTTGAAATTTTTCAAAAAATGTGTATTTCAACACTTCTAAGCCCTCTAAAATATTTATTTCAATACAAAGTAACCCAACTGAAATATTTAGTGGTACGTGAAATCGTGATTATCCTGATACACGCAATATAAGAAAGAAGGAATAAATCAATAAACATTTACGATAGGCAACTAAACATTCATCGTAAACCTCTTCATTTGCACATGTCATTATGGATGTAATAGTGGTGAATGATAATTGCCTACTATATATTTGCCAATTTTTGGACGCCCTGAAGCTTCACTTGCGTAAAAACTTTTTAACCACATGAGAGCAAGTCTTATTCAATTAGGACAAAATTAATAAGCTATGGAGATGGATTCTTATATATGAATAAATTCTGTCAATAGTTATAAAAGTAGGACAGGTAAAAAGAGACAACAGACAACTAATATAGAATTTTTAAATAAAATAATAACAATATATAATTAGCAATAATAAAAAATATAGTTATAATTTTGTAACATTTTTAGCTAATTTATATTGAGTTCAATTTAATAAACCATATACTCTATTATTTTTAATAATTATTACCAGGGCTCACGATTTCTAGTATTTGCATATTCATTTATACCATGTTAAAATATAACAGAGTAAGATACAAATACGTTTTATACTAAAAGAAATGCAGCTTTAAAAGTTGTTGGTACGTATTTTTGCATATTTTTGGGTTTTTGCATTTTTTCTACCATTTTTATAGTATTAAGTATACGTATAAGTATCAAGCTATTTTTTGTATATAATTTGTTAATTTGAAAAAAGTTAAATAGTATTTTGGTTTGTACTAATTGTATAGTAAATATTTATGGATAAACCGAGTTTATTGACACCACTCGAGTCGCGTTCAACTTTTCAAATCCAAAGCCCATGAAATAAGTCTACCTTCAGAGCTTGTAATTACTCGTTGGAGTACCTGAATCAATGTAGTAAATTATTACTGTGATAATTCAAACACAATTCATCCTATTTTTGATTAACTTGACAAAGACGATGCAGTTAGCATAAAAAAAAACGAAAATATATCAATAAAAATGGAACAGACGTAGATCTTATTTTGATCAAATCAAATTTTTTGTCTCTTACTACGTTTTTAAAAAAAATTACAAATACGGAGGTTGTATTATCTGATTATATTGAAATAATTAATGATGTAGAAAAATCATTTGAAACTCTACGAGGTCCAATTGAACTAATAATACAATCAAACTTAAAACAAGTTTTGGTAAAATATACTGGTTTATTACTTTTAAAAAAAATGCCCTGCATTTTATTGGGTATTAAAGACATCGAAAAATTTAATGGTTTTCCAGGTAATATTTCTAATAGTGAAGTTCCATATTTCAAGTTCGTCACTATCACATCGGTCGATGAAAAACGTTCATTCTCAACGTACAAAACATGTCTGACCAATAAAAGAAGATTGTTTAAATTTGAAAATATTCAAAAACACATAATAATAAATTGCAATTTTAAAGGTGTAAACTATAATTTATAAATTATAACATTTATTTAATTACTGACTTATTGAATTTTACCAATTATGCTTAAAGAACAAATAAATCAAATGTATACAATGGTCTACAATAATCTATAAAAAGAACACTAGATAATATTATTTAGAATTAGATTATATGTAAATAAATATTTTTAGAATTAGAATTAATCAAATTTAAAATATTTAAAATTATGAAACATTTCATGAAATATTTCACGATCTTATATTTCATGACATTTTCAAATACTATGAATTAGGGTGGTCCTTATTTTTTAAGTTTCAAAATTTCGAGCCAGGTACCCGCCATTTTATTCATTATAATCAGTAAATAATTGGAACTAAAAACATCATCAAATTGTAAAACAATTTTTTTTGATACTCTTTTTTTCTTGTTCATCAGTATTGATTTCTTCTTAATTTATTTCTAATATTTGTTTTGCCATTTTAGATTCTGTATTACCATCAATGCGATCATCAAATAAAGAAAATACGGCACACTCGTCATTTATGTACTATAAATGGTTGATAAATTTTTTGATTGCTACTTCTCCTATTTTTTATTATGTTTTGTATAATCAACTAATATATAAAATAAATAAAATATAAAAATAAATAAATAAATATAAAAAATAATTAAAATACATTTGGATGTAAAAAATATGTTGTATAATAAAATAGGATTATTAAAATACAATTGTATTATAACTGCTATAATATTAGAATAATTTACATAAATCCGGCTTTTACAAATTATATTTTTTTTCAGGAAAATAAATTTTATTTGATTTTTATGTAAGAAATTTTTTTCCTTTTTTTAATATTTTATCAAATACACTTGAATAAGTATAAAAAATCTACTTTGCAAAATAAATAAAATATTTCGTATTTTACTATTTTTCTTAGAAAATTACAGACTTTCGATAAATTTTTTAAATATATGTTTTATGAGCAACATTAAAATACATAATTAACCTTCTATACATTTTTTCGCTAAGTACTATAGTTTTTTGAGTTAAATTCACAAAACTACAAAACTACCCTCTATGACAAATTTTCAACCCTTTTGAGACAAGGGAAGTGGGTGAGTCATCATGACCAAATTTAGTCCCAATTACTTACTGATTATAATGAACAAAATGGTGGGTACCTGACCAAAGAATATTTTAAAAAAATGTCTTCTTCTGTAACTAAGAACCACCCTACTATATATATACATATTTACTCGTATATATATCGCATTTATTTATTTAAAAAATTAGCAATTATTAAAATTTCTTATTTTTTTTTTTTTAATGTCTTAAATATAAACTTATAACACAAGACCATAATTACATGTTGACCCAAAAAATATATCCTTACGGAATCTTACTTTCACTTAAAGAGATTAATCATATTCGTAGAATGAGACACACCTAATGTTAACTTTTTTTCATTGCCATTTCTTTTGACGAGTAACAATCGCAGAGTCTGTACAAGGTCAAAGAAGAACGATAAATTAGACGTGCACTGGTTCTCGTAAGCAAATTTACGTTGGATAAACTCAAGGTCTTAAAGAACAGAATTTATAATTGGTAGTCTCATGCCTTCAAATTAATCTAAGAGATTTTGTAATATTAAGATTATAATTAAAATGTAATGCAATACAAAATTATGTCTTACAACTTCCAAAAAAAATCCTAAATTTCTTAATTATGTTATTACAATATTATTCTATATAATGTACCTACCTATTATAATATAAATGTGAAATACTTTTAGGTACTTCATTACTAGGGATCGGATCTACATGTATTATAAAAACAAAAACTTATAAATATGTATGTGTAATAAAACATCGCGATATTATAAAAAATAATTAATATTAAATAATATTTAATATTAATATATTTATTTTTAATATTTAAAAATAATTCCCAAAATTTAAATTATTCAACTAAAAATAAGTTAATAGGTTATTATCAAAATACGCAGTGTTTGTTCTAAATTAGGGTGACCATACGTCCCGTTTAAAACGGAATTGCCCCTTTTTTTATCATTATGTCCCGTTGTCCCGACAAACTTTAAACGGGACGCTTTTTGTCCCGTTTTTAGAATATGGTCCCGTATTAATCCCATCACTTCCATAAAAATTGTAAACCGAGAGTAAAAGAAAAAAAATAAGACATGTCATATAGTATATATATTTATTATGAACTCATGTGCGAGACTTCTAAAGAATTAGATATTAAATACGAATAGTTTATCAATATACAGTACTATTTATAATCAACGATATTCAGTATAATAGGTATAATAGGTATATTAATCGAAAAATCGAACATAGTCGTGCAATAACGTGTGTACATTGCAATGATCTTGTGTTATTAATGTTATAGCCACTGTATATTAGTTCTTTTTATTTAAATTGTTGTGAATCGTTAGTGTTATCACTTGTATTGTTTTTTTAAAATGCCTAAAAAGAAATATACGTTCACTGTACCTTTGCAGATTAACTAATGCAGTAATAGAAAGAATATTTTCAATCACAAATATTTTATGGACGGACGAAAAAAATCGTTTTCTCTTACCAACTGTCAAAGAAATAATAATTCTTAAAAATAATTTTAAAAAATATTCTTGTAATGATTTTTATGATTTTTTGTTAACACAACCAAAACTATTAAATGCAATCAGTTCATAAAAAAAATATAATATCAAAGAATGTAATGAAGAAAATTATGAACATTTGACATCAACTCAATAAAAATAAAGAATATTTTAAGTAATTTTTTTTTAATCTCACAGCAAAAATAGAATACAAATCAATGTTTAATTAAAATATCAAACTAATTAAAAATTATTTTTATTGCATATAATATAGAAGTTAAAAAAATGTTGTATTTTTTTTTTTGAGAACATATTTGTTCCGTTTTTTTTTTTTTCATAAATACGGTCACCCTATTCTAAATTAAATAATATTCGATTATTTGTTCCTTAATTATATTTCGATAATTATGTTTTAACTGAAACATGGCTTAATAATAGTGTATTAAATAGCGACCTTGGTTTTATTCATTATAATATTTTTCGTGTTTATAGGTGTTCCGAAAATAATGACTGTAATCGCGAGTGTGTACCATAAGGTTATTTTTTTTCTTATCCCCAAAATATATGCCCGAAGGTAAAAGTTGGAAAAAATTATAAATACGTTTTCGCCTTATTTCATTAATAATGAAGACTCGCAAGCAAAATAAAACTAAAATATTTTCATCAAAACATTTATTTATTCTTTTGGTAAATAATTTAAGTGCATTTTAACTTATATAGGTTAAAATTAATTTAATTTTTAAATAAATAAAAATAACATACAGTATAGTATACAGTATAGTATACAGATTTTAAAATGTTAAAATAAAAAGTTATATAGTAGGTTTATATTTCTACATTTTCAACAAATTGCAAATGTATTTTGCCTTACTTTAGTCTTATTAATAAACTTCTTGGCAACATCGTCAATGTTTATTTGTTCTTCCTTATGTACATGTAAAACCGCTATATCGTTAAGTTATGTTTGAGCCATTGTTGATCGTAGGAATGTTTTTAAATACCGAAGAGCAGAAAAAGAACGTTCTGCTGTACACGAAGAAACTGGTACGGTTAATATAATTTTAATTAATTTTACCAATTCCGGTACCAAATCTTATAAATAAAATTCTTCTTTAAAAAAATCGATGACATCTGATACTGATAATATATTAAATCCTTTCGACTTTGCGATATCCAACATAATATTACGATGTAACTCTAACTTTGTCTCATCAAAGTCTCAGCCATAATAGTCAGTTATAATTGATGTATTAATTTTTTTTGGAGTTAACAATAAATTTTTCAATATTTGCAAGATGTTCAATAACGTTGTTTTGATATCTAGTATACAGAGCAGATAGTGTGGTTTCAATCACTTCAAAAAATAGTGCCCTATAATGGTCTTTAGCTGACTTAAAATAATGTTCCTGTTTCCCTTCAATTAAACGTTTTGGAATTTTTCTTAGTTTAGGGAGCTTCACTTCACCTAAATCTAACTCTTTTGATCTATTATTAATATTTTCCCACATTTGGTCAAACCCAGATTTTCGTTTTTCTTCTATAGAAATTATGATAGCTTGTATTTTTAATATTGCATCTTGGAAATGCAATGACTTTTTTTGAAGTTCCGAATTCAAAATTTCTATCCTCTCGAAAATAAATATCATCATCTCTCTTTAGTATTCAATCCTGAGATTGGTTTGTAGCAATTCTCCACTCTTCCCTGTTACTTGCCTTCCTCTTTGTCTCTTTATAAGAAGTACACCCTTGGTCCTCTATTATTTGTTGCATATATTTCATTCGTGGTATTCCCCTAGCATTTTTTCCTTCCTCGCAGCCTTCTATGATTGATCCTAGCAATCCACCATGTCTTAATACATGTCCTATCCATTCATTTCTCCTTTTCTTGATACTACTCCATAAAGTTCTTCTCGCGGACATTCTTTCTAATACTTCCTCGTTTGATACCATGTCCGTCCAACTTATTTTAAGCATTCTTCTAAAACACCGCATCTCGAAAGCTTTTATCCTTCTCCGCTCTGCTTTGGCAATCGTCCACGTTTCGCTGCCATACAGCATTATACTCCATACGTTTGTCATCAGAAGATTTATTCTGGTGCGTACGCTAGTACTTTTTGAAGTAAATAGCCCTCTTTTTTTGTTAAATGCTAACTTAGCTTGGCATATTCGCTTAACTATTTCTTTTTTACTTCTACCATCTTTACTTATTATGCTTCCCAAATATGCGAACTCTTCTACTTGCTTAATTTCTTGGTTATTTTGCAGGTGTATTCTTGTCGTAATATTATTGTTCCTGCTGCATACGAGAACTTTGGTCTTTTGCGCATTTATTTTCATGCTCAATTCATTGAGCAGAGTTTCTTCCATACATCTCAGCATCCTTTGTAATTCTTCTTCATTTTTTGCTATGACTGCTATATCATCTGCAAACCGTAGCATATCAATTTTCCTGTCATTTATCTTTATACCCAATTGTATTTTCTCTCTTATGTTAATTGCCTCTTGGATGTATGCATTGAATATGCTAGGTGAGAGATTACAACCCTGCATTACTCCTTTTCTTATACGTGCTTCTTCCTCAGTTTCACCAAATCGTATAACAGCTGTTTCCTTCTGGTATAGTTTAAAGAGTAGTCTCCTTTCAGTGTATTCTATACTCGCTCTTTTGAGTATCTTGAACACTATTTTCCAGAAATATCATCATATGTATCAAAAAAATAAAAATAAAATTTATAAAGTTGTTTAGAAAAACCACTAGCCTTAGCACCTATTTCATTTTTTTTCCGTAGCTAGTTGATTAAGGAATGTGTGAAGTATATTATAATTTGAATTAATAGTCTTTAATGAAACAATTCTAACACACCATCTTGTGGGACAAAAAGGTCGCAATGAAACATTATTTGAAAGACCGTTTGTACTTTGTTCAGCTTGAAAAGAGTTAAATATGGCCTGTCTTTTTGGTGAATCTTTTACGAATGCTATCAATGAACGTAAAGTAGATAAAAAGTCTCGAATTTTATCAATATTCTGCATTGCATTTTGCACTACAAGACTTAATGTATGGGCTGTACAATAAACAAAAGTTGCTCTAGATTCGATATCGATTATTTGTTTTTGTAAACCACTAATATGTCCACTAACATTAGCTGCTCCATCATAACATTGTCCGCGGCATTTAGATATATTTATGTCAAATCTATTTAAAGTGTTCATTACCAAATTCAATAATGTTTCAGCGTCAGTAAAAGGAGTTACGAAAAATTCTAAAAAATGTTCTGCTATATTTAAATGTTTGTCTACTATGCGAATACACACAGAAACTTGTTCTATATTTGTATTTCTATATTTCTCTTGTTTCATCTAATGTTATTTATCGAATAACAGAATGCATTTTTTATTTCAGAAACAATATTTAATTGAACTTCGTGGGATAAAAGAGATAGTATTTCATTTTGAATATCATGAGATAACCATTTATATTTAGTTCTTAACAACTAACTTTTTAATTCTGGAACATCATCAGAACGTAAAATGAGTAATTGTTGAATATTTGAGTTTATGTCACCATGACCACGCACTGCTAAACCTTGCCTCGTCAAATAAAGAAAAGATGAAATAATTTTTAAAAGAGCGGACCGGGCGTCATTAATTTCTTTAGTTTTAGAAATACTCATAGATGCACATATGTTAAATCATTTTTTTTGTGTTGCCGTAGATAAAACTGAAGCTCGATGGAAATTACTACCTAAAAATACATACATTCGAATCGTTATAATGCGATAAATATTTTATATTATGAATTTGTGCAGTATACTGCAGTTGGGGACCCAACTCTGCAATTAACCCAAATTGGGCTAATTTTATCTTAATATTTATTTATATAATAATTTAAAATATCATATCTACGGTTGTCTATAACAATTGTGTATTTAAAATATTTTTGGGAGGCAGAAAAGTGTAAACGAAAGAAATAACTGACTACTAAGATAAATTAAGACAAAAATTGATAAAAATCGATTTCTACTCTGGAATAGCTAAATAATGTTATTTAAATATTTACCTTCATAGCATTTGAATCGTTCCAAAGCTTTATTTCACACAGGAAATCCTTCAACTACAAATGTGTTTTTAGAATTTTGATCAAGCACAGAAGATGCAGGAAGATCAACTTTATTTTCAACAGCACTTGAACGTATTGAATAAAATGATTTTTCTTTCACGCGATCATAACCACAGATATAATTGTAACCATTTTTCTTGAAATACCCTTTTTTTTTGAGAAATTTCACTTTTCGATTCAACATTCAAAGAGTTAGAACTGTTATTCGCGTCAGTAGACTGTTCTGTGGTTTTAATCGATTTTTTTATTAACCACTTATCCATTTTAAATGTTAAGAATACACAAAACTATGCTATTATAAATTATAATCACTGCAAAGTGCTTCGATATCGAATGGTCGACGGTTAATTAAAGCCGGGTTTACACGTAACAATAAATCGTTACAATGTAATTGACAATTTATCGTCGTTTTTATTGTACCAATTTATCGAAATAGTGAATATTGTTTACACGCTACGATTTCTTGTCCAATATTCTTTGTCGACCACGGTTCATCACAACTCAGTTGGCCATTAGCTTTCGCCATGGAGGAAGTACTGTTGTGGTCGTTATATCTAGTTTATTTAGCGAAAAAAGCAAACAAGTCGTTACGATTTGCAGAAATTGATGCCGCTCGGCTTCAATCATCCGATCCAATTCCAATTCCAATAAATCGCTACAATGTCATATTTATACATAACGATAAATCGAAACAATTCGATCGTTACGATAAATTGCTGGAATTTATTGTTACGTGTAAACCCGGCTTAATACAAATTATCAGTTACAACTATTATAGAAATACTGAATCACGAAATCTTAGAAAATAGATAACATCGGTTCAGTCCATTAGATACGCATTTTTCGGATACTAATACGGGAATTTCAAGCAATATCGATATGTATTTTTAGCCCACGCGGCCACACGTAATAGGTTAATATTAAAACCTCCAAAAATACTTTATTTAATATCGTGTGATCGTGGAAATAATATTACGTAATTTCATATTGTTATTTTTTTTATTTCGTATTTTTATTATTTTACTCCGCATTTAACCTAACCCTGCATGACCAAATATAAAAAAGAAAATTACATGACCAGTAACGGGTTAACGCCGCGGTGCGATGTCGGTATACCATATTTGCGGTGGTCATCAAAACCGCACACTTACCGTCCATAACCGCACATTTTACATCGTTCAATACCACACATATTTATTCTATCGTTAAAAAGGAAAATTTGAAAGGTCAATAGTTTAAAACCGCAAACATTTGGTTAACAGTTACTTTCTTTCTGCACACTTTGCATGTACTGTTCACGTTACCGGTTTCGTATGAGTCCCACACAAAATCTTTTTTTATCCTGGGACCTACTTGGGGTAATGTTGCATAGCAAATCGGGGAATATTTTCGTTTTTAACTATCCGAGGCGAGCGAGTCATCCCTCTCGGTCTCGAGGTGCACTCATATTATTTTAAATAAATGTATACGTAATTGATATATATAATATATATAGTTTTATATATTATATAAAACTATCAAACTACCCTCTTTGGTTATTTTTCAACCCTCTTGAGGCACGGGAAAGAGTTTAGATAAGAAAACTAAATTCAACCCAAATTATTGTCTTATGGTACCAAACAAAATGGGGGGTCCTAGGTAAAAATTTCATAAGTTGAAAAATAATGACCACCCTAATATATATATATATATATATATATATATATATATATATAAATTTGTGTGGTATTGAACGGTTTAATTAGGCAAAAATATGTGGAATTAAGATATAAAAGTGTGGGATTATGAACGACGCCCATATTTGGTATTTTAGCAACTTGGTCTTCGGCCAATAAAATCGTAATAAAACCGATAATAACCTGCCCGATAAAATATTTGCAATCAATATGATATAACTATTATCTGACTTTGATAAATTAAATTAAATGAAATATACATTTTCCAATAATATTACAATAATATAATATTAATATACTATTTACTATTACAGTAATTAACATAATCAAGTACAATGTATTGACGGAGTCCAGAGTTTCGACTTTCACAGTCCACCAGTTGCCGACCCCTGGTCTAAATGAAGTCACCAAACTAAGTACAAAAAAATTGTTCAGTGTAATGAGTATTATTCTTAAGTGACGAGATAAAATAATTTATTGTTAAAATCTCAATAAATGAAAAATAATGTTGCTAAGATTCGTTACTAGCATAGTTCATGATTTAATATATGATAGTATTATAAGTTATAAAACCAAAAAAGTGTTGTTTGTTGGGATTCAGAACAGGTATTGTATGGTTTGCAAAAGAGCTACTAACAGGAAAATAGAAATTCCGAATCATTTTTGTTTTTTGAAATGGAAGCAAGGTGCAACTAACATCGAAGCTAATGCAATTGTAAAGGTTTCAAAATAAGTATAGAGATACATGGAGTAAAATATTCCAAACTCATATGTAAAAATATAATATAAATATATTTAATATAGTCACTGTTACCTTGATAAAAATCAAAAATAAATTTAGAAGATAGAGACGGTAATGTCACAAAGAGTCTTAATGAGATACCAAATATGTAAAGTGGAAACCGTTGAATCCCTATACTACAGTTGAACTTGGTTAACTTGAAGTTGAAGTGAACGTAGCCAACTTATTTAATTTAGGTATTAATTTAGATCTATTTTAATCTATATATTGGTGAGTAAAATCATTGTTATAAATACTATATTGTAATAATAGCCCTATATAAGGGTAGAATTTAAATCCATTTATATAATTGCCAAATTGATTGGTTGTTAGTATGTCCACAATTTGGCTTATTGTCGATTAAATAGAACCATTTTTTTTTTTGCATATTTTCACATAAAATTCCATATTTATAAATTTTTGAGAATCTTGTTAATTTTGTTAATTTTTAAACTTAAATTTTCAAGTTTTTATAATATTGTTAATTTTAAGTGGAATTGATTTAATGAACTTTAATTTTTCGAATCATCGTAAATATAATCTTATCTAGGTCGGATGACAAAAACTACATATATAACCTTATCTTGATCGGACAACCGATGTGATTATTCACAGATTATTTAACGACGCACTTATTAGACGTCTGCACGGGCCAAAAATGTTAGGCTGGGTTAAGTTAGGTTAGCTAGCTGTGCGTATCGTTCCCAACGTCTTCGGATTACATTATTTAATTTCATACGCGCCGGACTGACGAGGGCACGTATTAGTTTCTCCAATCGGAAATGCGATTTTAAACAATGTAAGTTGCAAAACGCCCCATATAAACTTTCGGCTGTGAAACAGGCCTTAAGGATATTTTTTGATATCGGACTCGGCCCAAATTACTGTTTTATCACTAAAATTAAATTTTTGTATAAGTTTTTACATTCTAAAAAAACCGGCCCGGGGCCCGTGTCTCATTTAAAAAAAGTCCAGCTCGGCCTGGGTTTAAATTTTAAGAGCCTGGCCCATGCAGGTATCTTCAGTGCATTTTTTAACTAGTTAACTAGGTGACATAAATGTCGCCCAGTGATTAAACTCTGTCGACAATATTTTGAAATATTGTGAGAAATAATGCGAAACAAACGTGTAATACTTTAATTGTACTATGGTATTACATTGACTATTTTGAGAAAAACATTTTTTTGTCGCCCAGTGAAAATTCCTTATAAAATGCATTGGGTATATTTTACTTATATTATGAGACAGTAAAGAAGTATTTCATTTCATTAGTACCACTTATAAACTATATTAATATAAACTAATATTTAATGCTATAATAACGAGTTATGATAATTAGTATCTACACAATGAAATTCCATAGAATGGCAACTTCTGCTTCCGAACTAGCACTTGTCAGACCGGCTCGCAGTCGACGACCACGAATGTGGGCGTGTCGACGTACGCGCCGGCGTGCTTACACCACATGAAAACATCTAACAGCGCGTTCTCTTGGTCGTTGTAAACGTTTTATTTTATTGTGACGTCCTCTTAAAGACAATTGTTGATCTTACCATGTAATTATAAATATTGTTTACAAAATCATTTACTGTAACAAGCTATTAATGATTTATAAGTATTGTGATGTGTGTTGAAACAATATAAAAGTATGTATAGACTCTGTAATAAGATTACATAACTTTTATTTGATGGTTGCCGTAATTCGTTCATATCATTTTAGATTATCCATTACAATATTATAAACTGACCAATTGCAAATTCACCACTTGTTCGAATGCCTAAAATAATAACACAATATCCATTTATATGCGTAGGCTGCTACCAACAATTTTATCTAGGACACAGTGATTTTTAATATAGCTAGGACATCAGTGACTAGAATATATTATCAAACAATTTCTATATATTTTAGAAATACAACGGTATTACGTACGTATATATTATTAAGAATTGAAGTTATATTATGATTTATCATCGATGAACATTAAATTAAAACTATAATAAAGCTAATAATCGAAAAATAATGTAATTGTTTATTACTTCTATATTAAAATAACCACTTTGCATTTACTAACATTAGTACATTAAATGTATATTTATTAAGAAAGAGGTCCCGAAAACTTTATTACAGAATGTGATATATATTCTGCAGTACTTCAATAAACAAAAACAATCAATTCATGTTTACTTTTTACGATTTTGTTTACTTAGTAAAATAAAACATCAACAGATTATAAATATTAACTTCACAATTAAATATATTATTGTGAGATGAAATTGAAAATGTCTGAGAGTGAATAACAATGATTTTCAACATAATGTCAAACATTGTTTTATTTATTTTTCACTATAATGATATTATTTTTCGTGAACACTTGAAAATATTAAAACTATATCAGATACATATACAGTAAATCATTAAATTTAAAATTTATTTAATTCTTAAAGTTTTGAGAAAAAAATTGAAAAATATCCTACAAAAATTTTTCGTGTCCATTTATAATTGATAAAATCAGTGATTATGAATAAGAAGGTTTAAAAATGATATATGAATGTAACATTAGCTCAATACAAGTGTAAAAATCAAAATATTTGGTTTAAAATATTTGTTGAAATTATTTCATAAGCAATTATTTTTACAAAATATGATTATACTCTTTTCATTAATAAATGCATAATTTATTATTATTATTTTCTGTCATAAAAATTTAACACATACTCATCAGAGATGGATATCATTTTTATAAATTTAAATCAATTTTTATGTAAATTAAGTTTCAAAGTAATTTTTCTTTGAGTTATTTACATTTAAATATACTTATCGTTTATTACTGCTGATTTTAATATTTATACATATGCTTGGCCGGAACTAGAGCCCAAATATTGGAAGTGCTGAAATTGCTGAATATAAAATTATTGGTAATATTTCACTGAAATTATTACAGATTATCCTGGGAAAAAACTAAAAGGTGTTAAATTTGAACTCGGGAATGCTAAAGACCTTCCTTGCGCTTCTTTAGTCGTTCCTATGCTTACAGACCATCCGTCACCGCTTTTATGGTGTGCAAATTCGCGACAAACAAACGTTGCGAAAGGAACATTGCGAAACATCCGGACATCACCGGGTGACAGGTCGTGCGTCTGTGCCGCTGCCTTGGTATGTTCACGCTAATGCGTTTTTGCTTGTGACAGATAGTGATTGATGCATATTTAATAACGCATTCGTCTCCCGAATCGAAAGAAGAAAAGTTCTAACATAAACATTTGACGTAATACGTTTTTCTGAGCCCGGTGGATTTTATGCGATTCGTTTGCGAATTTCCATAATTATTATTAGTCAAAATAATTGTGAACGTTTTTATTATTTTTATTGTAAGTCTTAACGTTTATATTGTTTGTGTTTCTAATACATAATAACGGATAAAAATCAAACGTTGGCATTCATTAAAGCACATAACGCGGCAAAACTTTTATGGGATGCAAACCAAACGAATTATTGCAACAAAATTTAAATAGGTGATATGTACGTTGGAGCGTATGGATAATGAATATAACATTGATTTTTCCGCTGTTAAAGTAAAATTAAAAAATGTGCATTTGTATTTTACAAAGAATTGTTAGTTACTGAAAAATTTTCAACGGTATAAAAAAATATAATTTAGTAAAAATTGTATTTAATCGTTTTTGATTTATTATCATAATATTCATCTGCTTACCTGATATCTTCACTATATCTTTTAGAACCACAAGCAATATTGTCCATATAAACTGTTTAGAAATTCTAAATAAATACATTAAAAATGAAAATGGATCACTGTTTGCTAAAAACCGAAGTGTTATGTACAATTTTATATTAAGTGGTACTGCCTCTCTAAACATGTTATACAATTTTACAATTTCAAATTCACTGATGTAAGATCTATGATCCGTTTTTCCAAAGTTTGGGTCGCATCCTTCTTACTCGTTCTATGAGAGTTGTCAGTATTTTACAAATAATAATATTGATTTATAGTTTACCCTTGTGGTACTCATTCAATCATAATCACCCCTCTAACATAGAAAAATACCATCAATATGAAACATTTAATTTTGACTTGATCATTCAAGCTTTTTACATTTTTAGCGGTGCTTCATGGATTGCCTCTTAATCATGGGATCATACTCGTATAGGAAAATCCTAATCTTATAGCATGTTATCAGCCTTTTCAACAAGTCTGACTCACTTCTTATTCGTTCAATAATATCTGTGCAATTTTGTCGCCTACCGCATTTTTGTTGCTGAAAAATATTTTTAGTAACCATTTTGCACAGATTCTTATTATGTTCAATGTAAAATTTGTCTAACGGTTCCCTTGTCAATGTTAAACGAACATGATGGTCGCCAATTTTTTCATATGCTATCATTGATTATTGAAATGTGATCGTCAGTTTTTGATGAGCATGGACGGCCAACACATTTTTCGTATTCAACTTCATTACGACCTTCAAGAAATCGTTTATGCCACTCATAAACACGTGATCGTGACATAACAGCATTTCCAAACACATTATTACTAGTTATTGTTTTGAAATGAAAAAAACAATTTTCTGTACACATAATAATTAAAATTCTTAAGTAAAACATTATTTTTTTTATTTAAAAAAAATATTGCTAGCTATATTGCTATTTACTAAATATAGATATATTATAAATTATCATTCATAACAGTTATAACAATTAATAAATCTCCAACTAATTTCTTTTCTTGTTTATTATCTCTACTTATTTTTCAACAATAATAATTTAATTATAAATTATAATGTATTTATAATCGAAGTAATAAAGTAATAATTATTATGAATAATATTTGTTTAGGTATAATAATCATAGTTATTTTAAACCTTAGTGTTCTAATTGTTGGATGTACATATTTATTGTATTTTTATAGCTTAACTTTGATTCCATTAGAACTGTATAATAGATATTTCTAATAATAAATTGCTCTAATGTTATTTGTTCAATTTAATTGTTGTTAGGGTATACCACAAATTATCAAAGAGGTAGCAATTAATAGACTACGAATTGGCCATACAAAAATCACCCACACCTACCAAATGAACAAAGAGAAACCTCTAATATACCAAAAATGTGGAATCCTAAATATCAAAAACATATTAACCGAATGCCTAAACTACGAGCTCCACAGGAAAAAAAAAACAATCTCCCTAAACATATTTCCACATCACTTAACAAATGTCATATCTATCATATCCTCAAAATTATTAAATAACATTTAAATAAAACAATGTATTATTAATTAAATTGGTCTGTAAACTTATAATGTATTTCAGTACCTAATGTAATTTAAAAACCATGTGTAAACCCCAATGGCCATTGCTGCAAAGAGTTATTTTGAATATAAAAAAAAAAAAAAATTGTTAGATCCAACTATAATTAATAATGATCTAAATTTATACATTCATATAATGTATAAAATAAATTATAAGGTAATAAGATTAATCAAAAGAAAGCATAATGACATATTTCTTGACGCGGCTAAATCAATAGTGCTTCGCGGTGTTTAAGTCTACACCTATGTTTTTAGTGTTTTATGTCGGTATTAATAAACATATAATTTTTATCACATTAAATGTATATTGTACGATTATTTTTGATTTTACAATAATCTTTGTGAGACAGCTGTCCATACTGAGCATACATACCATATATTACCATATTATGGTCTCATTATTACTGTGTATAGAATGTACATAGAAATAGAGAGCACTTCATCCATAGGGTTGAGCTGTGTTCTAATAATGAGTACAGTAGATTTTTTTTTATCCTCGGTTTACTTTTTATTTAAATATATATATAGATGTGTATATATTATGGGCGTCCCCAGGGGGGACAAGAAGGGGTACTTACTCCCCTCTAGAATTTTAAATTTGTTTTCCAAAGCATTATCTGTAACACATAAATTTAATAAACACACATTACTTTAATATAACATATATATTATATATAGAAGAAACTATCTTTAATAGGATTACTTATCTTATTGTATCTAATCTTATATTTGATGAAAAACAATAATCTATAAATAAAATGTAAGTATAAAATGTATAAAAAAAACATTCATTTATTTTTTAAATTGATTTTGCCCTCCCCCCCCACTCCCTAGAAAAATTTCCGGGGACGCCCCAATTTCTATTAAATTACAAATTTTATATTATCTACCGCTACCGATTGCCAAGAACAAGTACCCACTTTCATGACACTCACCTCGAACTTTTTGGTAGTTAAGTGAACCATAAAATTCATGATCAAGCCGCCTCTGCACATGTGAGGACATGAGTAGAATACTATTGCAAGCATTACTATTACGCACGTATCCTTATAGTTTAGATTGCGCGTGTTAAATATGATTACACAATAGTTCGGGTAGAATAATATTGCGCGCATACCCTTTTAGTTTACGATTACACGTGTTGAATATGATTACACAATTGTACGGGTAGAATACTATTACGCTAGTACCCTTTTAGTTTACAATTGCACGTGTTGAATGTGATTACGCAATTGTACGGGTTGGAATACTATTGTGCGCGTTACCATTGCGTGCGTACCCTTTTAGTATACGATTGCCCGTATTAAATATGATAAAACAATTGTACAATGTTGCCGAATTTAATAGGTAACATGATAACATAAATTTTAAGATAGTTAAAAGTCGTATTCATCTCATCTTTTATCTTTAATCTTTTATTTTTATGTAATTTTGAATTTCTCGCTTATAAATATACGCACTCACACGTATCCAGTTAAGTTATACTAATATCTGCAGTAATAATATCAGTTATCATCATGAAATCAGTAAACGAAGTACGTATTATTTTAACCTAACTTTACTCGTGGTAAAAGATTTTAAATATCGCTTAATTAATAAAAGAAAAGATAATTTGAATAGTGGTGAATTACCAGAAAATGTGTTCGGCTACTATACTAACGAAATAGAATTAGGTATACAATTTTATCAACAAATGGCAATCACGAACATCCAATAGAAGACAACATTTAACTATAGGTATTTAAAAATGTTTAACTGCGATGATGCCTAATCTGGCAAAATCACAGTAAGTTTTATGCGCAACCATGCATATATCTTACCCAAAATGTACGTTATATTATTCAGTTAAAACAAGCACAATCGTATTATGAAAATGGTAAAATGCGCGCAATCATATTATACCGAAGGACATTATAGTCAGGAGGTAATCTTAAAAACAATACATACACAAAGGAATGTCATAGACAATGAATTTGAATATAATAAATATAAACACATGAGTAGACTAAGAAATCCGTAAAACAATACAATTTATAAAATTTAAGCCACATATAAGATATATTAAATAAATGGCACACAATAATGTTTAGATAAAAACCGCATCATGGATTAACAGGTATACTTCATATTTGGGAATTAATTATCACTGACCACATCCTGTGTTGGATAGTCATAAAACAAAGAACGATAAGAAGTTCACATGAGATCCAGTGTTGGGAATAGATAATGCAAAATTTATCTAGATAAAGATGAAAGATAATATGTCCAAATTCATTTAGATAAAGATAATAGATAAAAAAATTAAAATATCTAGATAAAGATAAAAGATAATTTCATTTTTATCTAGATAAACAAAAAGATATTTTCAAAAAATGTTATTTTTT